TAGAATTACTGTGTGTGTGTGTGTGTATGTGTGTGTGTGTGTGTTTCTTCTGATTGTATCCAGGTTAAAATAACATCTTTAAAAATTATTTTATTGTGCAAAGAACAGTTAGCATCACGTCTACTCTTTCAAAAGCATTTCAAGTGTACAATACAGTATTACTGTCTATAGGCCCAATATTGTACAGAAAACCTGTAGAACTTATTCATCTTGAATGACTGCAATTTTATACCTGTTGATTAATAACTTCTGCTTTCTTCCTCCTCTGAACCCCTGGCACTTTTCTCTTCTTTGTCTCTGAGTTTGACTTAATACCTCATGTAAGTGGAACCCTGCCATGGTTTTTGTCTTTCTGTGAATGGCTTATTTCACTTAGTATAATGTCCTCAAAGTTTGTTTATGTGGTTGCAGAATTTTCTTCTTTTTTAAGGCTAAATAATATTCCATTTTATGTATATGTACATTTTTAAAATCCTTTCATCAGTAGATGGACATTTAGGTTGTTTCTACATTTTTGCTGTTGTGAATAGTGTCGCAATGTGCATGGGAGTGCTAATAACTATTCAAGACCTGATTTCAATGATTTTGGAATACATACCCAGAAGTAGAATTTCTGGGTCAAATGGTATTTCTGTTTTTAGTGTTAAGAGAATTCTCCATACTGTTTTCCATTGTGACTGTATCATTTTGCACTTCCATTAACATTGTACAAGGGTTTCCATTTCTCCACGTATTGCCATTATTTGTCACTTGCCTTTTTTTTTTTTTTTTTTTAATAATGGCCATCCTAACAAATGGAAAGTGATATATTACTGTGGTTTTTATTTCCTTTTCCCCAATTATTAGTGGTGTTGAGTATCTCTTCATATACCTGTTGGCCATTTATATGTGTTCTTTGGGGAAAAAAATCAATTCTAGTTCTTTGTCCATTTTGAAATCTGGTATAACATCTTTATAATAAAGTCTTCCAATCTAGAAACGTGGTATATGTTCCCATTTACTTAGTTTTGTTTTTGTATCTCACTTGATAAATTTATTACCAAGTTTTTAAGTATATTGAGTTTATCATAAGTAGTATCTTTAATATTTTGTTATTAATTAAGTGGTTCTCATATAGTAATTTAATTAATTTTTGACTGTTTCTCTTTGATCCACTGAACTTGCTAAATGTAGATATTAAGGCAAATGGTATGCCTGTATATTCTTCCATATTTTCTACATATACTATGATGTCTATGCAAATAGCTAGTTTTGTTTTTTCTTTTCTAAATCTTGTGCCTTTTATTTTTGTATCTTAACCTGTTGCTTGACTAGATCGAAGACCTCTAGGACAACGTTGAATAGAATGAATAATGGAAAACACTCTTGCAATGATTTTGTTCAGAATTACACCATTAAGTATGATGTATACTATAGGTATTTATTTATTTACATAATATACTGTCTATCAGATTAAAAGTTTCTTCTATTCCTCGTTTGTTAGGGGCTTTTATTTTTTGTAAATCACAAATCGGTGTCAAATTTTATCATATACAGATGCTCCTTGTTTTTTGATGGGGTGACGTACCAATAAACCCATGGTAATTTGAAAATAGTATAAGTGAAAAGTGCAATTTTGACTTACAATATTTTCTTTCTAAAGAATATTTTCTTTTAAAGATGTGGGATACAATTCAGGATTAGGTATACAAGTGGACACTGTACAGGTAAAGTTTGAGCCTCCCTTTGGTCCCTACTTTGCCTGGTTTGAGATCAGGTACCCTGATTAATATTGTGTCCTCATCCCCACCCTCGTGGTATCCCACTATTGCCAATCCCTTTCTTATAGGATTATGGTAAATGTACTTGTGACATTTTCAATTTACCATGTGTTTATCTGGTTGCAACCCCATTGCAGGCTGAGAAGCATGCTCAACGCATATTGTTCTTGAACTATCACAAAGTCAAGAAGTGGTAAGATGAGCCATCGTCACTTGGGGACTATCTGTATTTTCTCTTTGTGTTAGCATTATCACATTATTTTAAAATCACTTTTGGTTATTAGTGTGTCAAAATACATTGTTTTTCTAACAAAAAACACCTCTACGTTACTGCAGTGTAGCCATTGGGATGTACTGTCCTTTTCATTTATTGCTAGATTCAATTCGTTAGTACTGTTTAATATACTTGCACATATGTTCATATTGGTTTGTAGTTTTTCTTTCTTGTCTTATAGTGTCACTGTCAATCATTCTTATAAGTTAACCTGATCTGAGGAGTTGGAAGGTTCTTGAAGGTTTTTTGAAGTTTGATATTCCTTATTCCTCTAATATTTAGAAGAATTCACCAGCAAAGTCACCTGGGTTGGGGGCTTTCTTTGTGAGAAGCTTGTTCTTTATTTGCAGTAATTTTACACTTACAGAAGTGTTGCAAACATAGTCCAGAAAGTTTTTCATATATCCTCGACCTAGTTTTACTTAATATTGACATTTCTTATAGCCATGGAATGATCAAAACCAGGATATTAATACATGGTATCATATGACTAGCCAGATTACTGACCACGTTAAATCTTATCAGTGTTTCTATAAGTGTCCTTTGTCGGTCCTAGGATCCATTTAAGATTCCTCATCTCTACAATAAATCAAAAATTAACCAGGCGTGGTAACACACACCTGTAGTTCCTGCTACTTGGAAGACTGAGGTGAAAGGATTGCTTGAGCCCAGCAGGTTGACTCTGGGGTGGCTGTGAGCATGTCACTATACTCCAGCCTGGGCGACAGAGTGAGACTCCAGTTAAAAAAAAATTCCACATTGTATTTAGTGGTCTTCTTAGACTGCCCCAGTAGGTGATAATTCCTTGGTCTTTCGATTATTTATTTATTTATATCAGTATAGATATTTATTTTATCCCACAGGCTCTAATCCAAAATAATCATTATTTATTGGCTTTTCCTGAATTGTTCCTTTTGTGACCCTTCTGTGTCTTTCGACACACTCCCATTGGTTTTTTCTAGCATCTCTTACTTTGGCACCAAGAGATATCCCAGGTTGAGCTTGGTTTTCTTTCTCTGCACCTGGAGTCAGACAGTGCTTCAAGGAGTCTTGATTCCTGTTTTTGGAGACAGATATGACACCAGAGCTGGCCAACTCCCTGAGTGAGACAGCCTGAGCATAGAATTCACCAAGTCATGCTGGTCTCCTGAGCCTTGGAAACGGAGTCATAATACATTTGAGTTGCTTAAAACTCTGTGGGTGGTGATAACTTGTTACAAAGCCAGAGTAAACGGATTACAGACCACATTAAATTTCACCAGTGTTTCTACGAGTGTCCTTTGTGAAGTTTGGTATTCTTTATTCCTCTAATATTTAGAAGAATTCACCAGCAAAGTCACCTGGGTTGGGGGCTTTCTTTGTGAGAAGCTTGTTCTTTATTTGCAATAATTTTATACTTACAGATGTGTTGCAAACATAGTGCAGAAAGTTTTCGTATATGCTTGACCCAACTTCACTTAATATTGACATTTCTTATAGCCATAGAATTATCAAAACCAGGATATTAATGCATGGTATTAATTAACTGAGACACTCAGTTCTGATATATCATTCCTCTGTTTTTAGAGTCTCAATAACTTCTCATTGTCTTCATGATAAAATCCAACTTAATTAAAGACGTGTGAGACCTTTTCTGGGCCCCAGTTCCCTCCCCAGCCTCATTGCTTGAGAATCCAATGCTCTCTCTCCATTTCAGACAGACTGAAATGTTTGGATGACCCTGATGACACTGTGCTGTCTCGTTTCCCTTCCTAGCCGTCACTTCATGATTCAGTTTAAACTTCGATTGGCTAGCGAGTCTTTTACCAGTGTCCCAAGAGTGGGTGAGGTGACTGTTCTCACTTGTTTTTCCTCATTGATAGCACTTAGCATAGTCATGTAATTGTCTGTGTACCTGTCTTCCTGGGTACAAAGCACTCTCATTGAAGGCAGTGTTTTTTATCTTACCATTGTCCTTCCCAGGGTCTAGGCCAGTGTTGACTGGGTGAATACATCCATGAGAAAATGAACTGTGCCAGTGCCTAAAGAATTCAGGAAAAGCTGGATCGTAGCCTGCTCTTTCCAACGCAGACAGACTTGGTTTTGACTGCCTGCTAACTCTTCCGTTCTATCAGCAGAATTACTTTGGATACAGTCACTTAAGGTCCTTAAACTTCATTGTTGGACTTTGAGAAATAGGGGTACGAACACTGATTACTGTATGAGGTTGCTCTGATGAGAAATTAGGAAAATGCATGTAGTTACACGGTGCCCCATACATAGTTAAATGCACAGGAAATGTGAGCTCTTAGTTTTACTGCAATTTCTTATTTGTAATTACCAATTCATGTGGGCTACCAGTGAGCCAGTGATCTTTTTCATTTGCTCAGCAGGAATTTTGCTTGCTTGCTTTCTTTTTCTCTCTTTCTGGTGAGGAAAGGAAACTTAACAGCACTTGGCGTGTCCCCAGCTGAGTGTTTGCTATTTTGAGTTTCAGTTTCGTTTCTTTCCTAGAGTCTCAGAAATCACCAATCTCCTAAGAACTTTCTATCTTCAGACTGTGGCTGCTTGATAAATCAGACAGAACAGCTAATCCTCAGCTTAAACCTGATCTAACTCTTAGAAATAGGTAAGTGATTTCTGCTTTTACTGATACATAATAATTGTACATATTTATGGAGTATAGTGACATTTTGATACTTGTATACAATGTGTAATGATCAGATCAAAGTAATTGAGATATCTATCACCTCAATCATTTATTATTTCTCTCTGTTGGAAAGATTCCAAATCTTCTCTTCTAGCTATTAAAAAATATACAATAAATTATTGTCAACTGCAGTTATCCTACTGTGTTATGAACACCAGAACTTATTTCTTCTAGTTGTATTTTTTTCACCCAGTAACCAACCTTTCTTCACCCCTTTGCCCCTACCTTTCCCAGTCTCTGGTGAATGCCATTTTACTCTCTACTTCCACGAGATCAATTTTTTTTTAAAACTCCCACGTATAAGTGAGAACATGACAGGTAAGTGACTTCTTGCCATCCAACGTGTCTTAGCTGTGTGTGAAGCAAATAGCCTGCTTTTTTTTCTTTCTTTTTTTTGAATGATGTTTATTTAAGGCAGTGACACCAAATGCATATTCATAGATCACTATGCTGAAAAAGACATAACACGGAGAAGTGGAAATTTTTTAATACAATTGGGTAGGCTTGATCACCCCCTAGTCATTTTTATTATACCTTTTTTGTATTTTTATTACACTTGATTATTATCCCGATCCAACTATTATTGGATTTTTTCCTACAAGAATGAATTGCACACACATTTATTAAGTCATACTTTCAAGGAACATTGTCCTATTCACCATTATATTCCCAGCCTTTCATATTTGCCTAATAAGTACTCCAAAATTATTTTTATCTTTGCTTTTATTCCTCTGAGACAGATATATTTTTTTTTATAATCAATATTTTTTAGTATGATATTGTGGGGTACAGTTAAGGGTTAGGTATACAAATATGCTTCATTCAGGCACCCTTGTTGATAAGAGGTGTCTCCCCATCCCCAGACAGATATT